GATGTTAGTGAATAGTGTTAATTTTCAGACTATTTACCAGGTTACAAGAAGTTGTTTTTACCATTTTTTGGAGTCAGTGAAACAAACTCATGTAAATTAGTGCAAATCACTCAGAATGTGGGTGCTAAATTCTGTCAAACTCCTTCGTAATAGCAGAACATCAAGCTTTGGCCCAATTCACATTTTTATACACAGTTCCTCTCCTTTGTTATGAGCCCTTTTTATTTTTGAATGTGCTGCTTGTTTTTCCATAAGCAATGCTCTCAAACCTCAGGAATGTCGACCGTAAAATTGTTGATCTTACTCTCCTAAGTTGTTTTGCCTCAGGTAATTTTGGGGCTCAAAGACACTGCTAGTTCATTTTTATTTTTTTTTTCAAATGGGCTGAGTCAATATTAATGACTGTGGTCTGCTGGTATCTATTGAAAACTAATAGTTACTTCTGTAACTGTAGAAGTGTAAATACTAGTGACTGTCCTGTTCTGCCATATCAGATAGGACATAAGGAATGGGTGGGAAGAGGGATTTTCCTCAGTGCTGATCACTAGCAGTGTTATTACAGGTATCCATCGCTGGCAAAAAAGTTCCCTCTTGGAGCTTATCGGGAACTGAGAGAAAGAGGGCAAGAAAAAGCAAGATGGATAAAAGAGCTGCAGGGCAACGAGTAATGCATCAATCAGTCAGCTTGATAGATGCTGTGAAATCTAAGGAGCAGGTAAAGGGGAATATTTCCTTGCTTTTTTAAAACTAATAATTAAAAGCCATTTTATTTTTGCTCTTTGGACGTAGGTGGGAGTACAAATACACAGTGGTCTAAAACTGTTGCTGAACACACGTTTCTCCAAAGCTGCTTATGGCCCTTTGCACCTCAGTTACACTTCAGAGTTACACACATAAGTGTGCACTTCATCACCTGTGGAGTGGCTCCGAGTTACACAGGGAAGGAGCCAAAAGCAAGAGAGAGCCAGTTTTGGCCAGGTGCTGTGACAGCACATGACCCTTTCGAGCCAGGCGGCTTGAATGCCACTGCTCGTGTTCAACAAAAGAATTCTCCTGGTCCGACTTCTGCCCTGACTTGAGTCAATGCGGTTGCCTTCTGACGAAACTGCTTGATGGAAGATTTTGCAAAATATGACTTGAAGTCGGTGCTGCGTGTGGAGCTCGGAACCGACCCCTTTGTGCAAAAAATTGTTGTGATTACAAAGGGCTTTTATATTATTTATTTATTTTCTGGAGTGATGGCAGTTGTGCCATAGCTCTTCATCCTTGCTTGAGAAGCTGCTTTTTTCCATTTGTGTGTGCTTTTGGTTTTGCTTTTCCCCCTGCAGCTGGTCCTGGAGTAGCTAGAACTCCTGATTGCCTCGAATGGAGCTTACCAGGGGTGGTGGAAGTGGAAGGCGTGCAATCTTACAGGGTCCTTTTGACAGTCAGCCCACAGTGTCGTGAGAACCATTGCTTATTTTGTTTATTCTGAAGTTAGTGGGAATCTAGGGTGAAATCTATTCACAAATACATTGTTGTATGTGTTGATTTTCCCTTTTGTCTTTGTTTGATCATGTATACTGAAAAGTCTTCCAATTTTTTGGTCATAAGAGTGTTGTGGAGTCTTTTTCTATCATGTGGCACAAAAATAGTTGCAGGACTAAGTAACTCAGTGTGGCACTTTATTTTTTTCCATCTATGCCCTGAACTGTAACCTGGTAAGTAAGATTCACACATAATGATTCAAAGCAAACCGAAATATGCTACATGTTGGGTTTTTTCTCTCATTAGCTGGTAGAGCAGAATCATGCTAGAAGTTTGGCTGAGAATAGGCATTATTTTAGTGTCGTCCCAGCATGAGTCTAGTCAATAATGAAATCTGTGAATCCAGCTTGTAGTCTTTTTTTTTTAACCAAGGTAACTGAATAAATTAAAACAATTCTTCCTATTTATTCAAATAACTGAAAATGCTAGGCTCTGTCTCCTTTCTCTCTAGTGGCCTTTTTTCTCCAATAAACTAGGAATGTGGCTGCATTAAGTTGAGGCAAACAAAGCAAAATACTTCAAATACATTGAAGTGCTTGCTAAACTGATAGCTGTGTAGTCTCTGTCAGAGTATCTGTGACAGAGGCTCTAGTCAAAATGCTGCTTTTTTGCATAAAAGAGGAACTTGCGCCAGGGGAGCTCTGAGAGCTATTGATTCATCTTCAGCTAAAACTCCCTGAACCCTTCCTTATGGTAAAAAAACATATATTGTATTTGCCTTTCATGGTAAGTGCAGTAGTGTAGATGCAGCCAAGAGTTAAGAAAGGTAAAAGCTGGATTGGTTAGTTTTATAGTTTTTTCATGAGGAGCACCAGAATATTGCAACGATTGGTATCTGTCTTAATCAGCTGGGTATGAACATGTGTATTCTGAGAGTGTAAGATCTTTTTTTTTTTCCATTTCCTTTTGCGTCGTTGGTTATGAGAACACTACTACATTCTTCTTAATTATTCCCCTCTTCATTTTTTGTGCATCACTGATTTTTGCCTAGGTGAGCAAGTTGGTTTTCACAGCTTTATTGCTTTGAATTAGCAAACTTTTTTCAGTATGATAATTTCCATTTTGGAAATTAAGCAAATCTACTTCTTTAACATCAATTTGTACTTCAGACATTATTTCATAGGGAGTTTTAGGGAGTTGCCCGTCTTAGACTGTTTGACTGAAGAAAAGCGGATAATGCAACTCTTACATTTGCTGTTTTATTGCCAGCTACAACTCCAACCCTCCTACCAGCTGACCAATCCTGCAGCCCTATGAAGACCTCTCCCAGTTTTTCCTTTTACTTTGTATAATTTAGAAACATCTTTCCAAAGGGCTGCAGTTAATGTTCCCTATACCTTTAATTGCATGCCTCTTTTGCAAAAGGGAAGAACCTAATTTGCAAAAAAAAAAAATTTACACCAAAAACCTTTTCTTGTACAAGTCAGGGATTGACTGTATTTCTGTCATTTCACTGTTTCCGAAACACCCATTGCAGTGACTCATACGTAATCCCCTAAGGAGTGAAAAGAACATTTAAAAAATAAAGCAGCATGAATTGGACTGGAGCTAGAAAAGCTGGCAGGAAATCCTAGACTGAGCTCTACAGAAGAAAAACAATGATCTGTGGAAAAAATATTTTTATGTATTACTGTATGTAAACAGCTTACTATGTCTCCTTTATAAAGATGTAATTAGATTTTTGTTGTTGTTTGTCATCAGATGTGAGAGAGTTCACAGGTTTTCTGTTTCTCTCCCCTCATTTTCGGACAACCTAGAAATGCAGTGTTCAGATGTATGTCATGCTCGCTTCTTCCAAGATCTCCCTTCACCTTGTTGTTGCTGATTTGTCTCTTCCAAAGTTTGTCAAGTAATTTTAAGACTTATCTTGTTTTTCCACTCTAGAAAGGTTGTTGTGGGGTTTTTTGGTTGTTTTTTAAATATGCATGCCTTCCAGTTTGACTGTCGTCGTTGTATGACTGTTCTAGAAGTTTTGTACTATGTTTTTAGCTGAGCCAAACTTTTAATCAGTGAGGCACACGGATTAAAACTTATTTCAGTTTTTTTGATATGTCATTAAATAATTTTTTAAAGGGGAGGGGGGTGGGAAGTCATAATTGGTAAAAGAGAAGAAGCTCTAGAAGTTCCTAACAGAAGCATTGTGGCTTGTATGATGACCACAAAAGACCAAATAGTTCTTTGATTGTAGTTTGACTTTGCCTTTTTTCCAGACAGTATTTGGAAAACCTCTGTCTGTTATCTATGGGGAAACAAATAACCTCCAGGAGCTGTGGTCTGCACCATGCACTTAAACACTGTTAGACTGTTAGTTCCTTTTTTTTTTTTTTTAATAATGCCCGTAAAATGCTGAGATGGAGTTAATTTTCTTCATAGCATCCCATATGATGCTGTGTTTTAGATTTGTGACCAGGGGCAGGGAGGGAGGAGTGAGCAGCTGTATGGTGCTGAGCTGCCTGCAGGGGTTAACCCACAACAAATGCCTTCCATCGTACTTGTACTAGGTATATAGAAATTGGAGGAAAGAGGTGAATGAGTGTGTCTGTGTGTTTGTGTATAATTTTCTTGTTTTATGCAATATTTTCCCAGGCCTGCAAAAATTGAATATATTTAGTGTCTGCAAGGGAACAGCAAATAAATTCGTTATAATGCAAATTGTGCATAACAGTTGCAGTGAGGCTAAATGTAATACAAGAGAAGTCATAGTTCTGACAACAGCAAAAGAAACAAAGTACTTTGAGAAGTGTTATATTTCAGTCAGAGAACTGGCTAACTGGAAGCTCATAACTGTTTTATAGGTGATGAAAGTAGAATGAAAGGATATTTAATTTCATACAGACCACAGGCATAAGAAATTCCTGCCTGACTGAGCCTAGTGAAGGTGTCTGAGAGTGGCAGCATGTAAACCTGGCTGCTTTCTATGCTTCCTTCCCTTTGGACTCTTCCAGCATCCACAACTGTTGAATTGGAGTTTTTAGGAGGTAATTCCCCACCCAGTCCTTTTGCAGTCCACTTATGGACCTTTCATCCATCACATCATCTCATCCCTTGTTCAGCTGTTGGTACTGTCTCTCTCCATAGCCTCCCGTGCAGCACATTCCAAGAGAACACTGTGCAAAGAACATCTTTTGGTTGATCTCCTATCGATTTTGTCAAATGTCTCCAGTTCTTGTACCTGGGGTAAACAATTGTTTTCCATTCAGTTTATCCATCACCTTCATGATTTTCTAAACTTCAGTTGTGTACCCCTCAGCCATCATACCTCCAAACTGCAGAGTCTTAAGATGAAAAGCCGTCCTTTTCTGGAATTTCATCTTAAGGCACCTGTCCACCACCTCCTTCATTCTGGTTGCCCTACTCTGTACTTTCTCCAATTCCTTTTGAGATGCGGAGACCAGAACTAGATACTACTGAAGACATGAATGCCTAAAAATTTTATGCAGTCAAAATTATGCTCTCTTTTAAGCATCCTTCCGATGACGTCCACCATTTTGTTGGCTGTTATAGCTGCCTCCGCACTTGGAGCAGGAATTAGATGCGAGTTGGTAAGAGCTAGGTGCTCAGCAATGTTCTGACAGTCGAGTGGCAAAGCCTTCCTTTTGATTTCTAGAGTAAGTGTGAGATGATGCTCTTTTCAAAAGTCCTCTCAGGATTTTATTTATATCAATGGCAGCCTTCTCCCTCCTTGCAAAATGAGCCTTTTCACGTGCCCTTATCCTTCCCTTTCTCATGCTGGCTTTTGAGTTCCTCAAAAAACAGTGATGGAAGAACAGAATAATATAACACTCCTATTTTGTACATCTTCCCCGTTTAAACTAGAACGAGCAGAGAGGTCAGAAAGTTTCTTGAATTAGAAACTTTATTATTTTGAATTGGAGGCAGTCTGACTCCCGTTGTCATGTTAACCTAGGCCTATTTTATACCGGATTTTTTTTAATTTCTGAAGTTTTATTATGCAGAATGATATGTGAGAGAAATACTGTAAGGTAGTAGTAAGTATCATGTGATTTAGTTGAACATGGACATGAGTCAGCAATGTGCCCTTGACGCAGTAAAGGCGAACTGCGTAATGGGTTGCACTAGGAAGAGCTTAGCCACCAAGCAAAGGGATGTGGTTTGTTTTCCACCACATAACATTAACAGGCCTGTGTCTGGAGCACTGTGTCTGGTTTCTCCTCCTGCACTGCCCAGCACAGAAGAGATGTTAGCAGATCTTTTCTAGGTCCTCTGCATTTGTTAAGGAGGTTAGAGGGCTGTAGCACATGACAGGCATGGAAAAGGTGGAGGAGCTTGGCTTGGTTTGGCTGGAGAAAAGTCTAATGGGAAATCTAATTGCATCTTTTCACCTTCAAAAGTGAGGTTACAGAGTAAATGGAAATAAAAGCTTCTGAGGGGTGCACGCTGAAAGGACAAGAGGCAATCATCACAAGATGCAACATGAGAAACCTACTGAGGTATGAGGAAAAGTACCTTCACTGTGAGACTAGTCAAGCAACTATTCAGAGAAACTGGAGGTTTTTGGGGTGTGACTGGACGAGCCTCTGAGAAACCTAATCCAACTCTGATAACCTGCCCCCAGCAGGTTTGAGTAGGTGACGTCCTTCTGATCTCTTTTTTTTTTGTTTGATTATGTGTTTGTGAGTAGTGAGATGTTGCTAAAATGTGTGTGGTGTTCTCTGCAGATTTCAGTGTGATCCAACATCTGTTCTTGCTTACAAATAGATAATTTTAGCACTAAACCTGAACTTTCAGCAATGTTTCCCTGTTGTCCTCTTGGACAGTAGTATTGGAAAAAGCAGTGACTGTATGTTTTGGGGAGTGTTCATGGGTGAGGCTCTGGTATTCTGGACACTTCACGCTTGGACACTTCAGAGCCTTTCTGCCTAGTTTTTTTCCAAAATCACCCGCTCTTCTAACCCCACCAACCTTGCTGATCACTGAAAATGCCCAGCAGTTTTCAAAATCCCAGCCTTTCTTCTCGGTCAGAACTTCATATATCTTGGTGGGGAGGCAGGGAGGAGTCCTGTGAAATAGTAAAGTTGCTTTCAACAAGGACGCAGGAGATGCCAGTGCCTGCGGCAGCTCTCTGCCGCCCCAGGCGGGTAGGTCTGTGCGGCCATGCAGCAGATCAGATCAAGGCTGCACCTCGTTTTTGCCCGCTATCCCTGCTGCCTTCAGCTTACCTCACGGCTCTAAAAACAGCGCTGGGGTCACAGCAGAGGGAGTAATGTTTGGTGGGAGCAAGGTGAGGGGGTGCAGGATGGGGATTAGATGTGGCTCAGGGCTGCCGCTGATGTCCGTGCCAGATTACACGTACTCATGGCACTCTGTCCCAGCGCCGGAGCGTGTTGAGGCCGTATCTGGCAAGCGCTGAGGCCCTGGGGCTGATACACCTAGCCTCAGAAACACCCTGTGTCCAAGAGTGGCCCCAGGGGCACTGTCCTCTAGTGCAGCACTGTCTGCCTCCGAACCACCCTCTCCTTCCGAAAATGCTCTGTCGATGCTCCCTGCTGGGGCGTGTTGGTTTGGTGTTCAGCTTGAACTATGTTTAAGTTAACATGTCCTGCGTGGGTATTTGGTCTTTGGGAATGCCTTGGGCCTTAGGCCGTTTCCAGGACCCACCTCACCAAGGTAAGTATGGACACCAGCTGGTGATGTTCTCCAGCAGCCGGTTGCTTTAGTAAAACATGTTCATTCAGCCCCTTACCAGAGATTTCTCCCTTCTTGCTTAACATATATTTAGAACCAACTCTCCATGCATTAAGATACTGGGTTTAAATAAATAACGAGTCATCAATTTATATGATCTCCTGTTGTTTCTCTGTGTGTACATATAGGATGACAAGGAAGCCAACAGACCCATGCCAAACAAAGGAGACCATGGACTCAGAAATGAGAAATTCAAACCTGTGGTACCTTGGCCTCATGTTGAAGGTGTGGAAGTGGACTTGGAATCCATTCGAAGGAAAAATAAGGCCAAAAATGAACTACATCATCATGGTGGTGGTGATAACAAACAGCAAAACATCATCCAGAGGCAGTATCTCACATTTAAGCCTCAGACATTTGTATACCGAGATCCTGTTTTACGACCTGGAGTCCTTGGTAATTTTGAACCCAAAGAGCCCGAGCCTCACGGAGTTGCTGGTGGCCCTGGAGAGGAAGCGAAGCCATATGTTTTAGGACCAGACTACAAAGAATCCATTCAAGCCAGCATTAAAGAGTTTGGGTTTAATATGGTGGCAAGTGATATGATCTCACTAGATCGGAGTGTTAATGACTTGCGTCAAGAAGAGTAAGCAAACTTTTTGTTTTCTTTTAGTTCTGTTTTTATGGGATTTAATTACTTTCTTTCCATATATCTTAATTGTAAGGCCAAATACTTAAGGCTTCTTGTCCTGACAGGCAAGAGTGCTGTACTATACCAAATGTTTCCATATATTATTGTTAATGCTGTTCCAATTATTCCTTTCATGAATACTTAATCTATATTCATTTATCTCTTGCAGTCTTCTGTTTTAGGGCCTAATTGCATGTATTTGCATGTTCCAGGTCCAGCCACAGTCTTCATAGTCATATCTTCTTAATCCGTAACTTCTTAAGATTTGTTTTTAGGAAAGAATTATTTTCTTGTATTACATCACACAGAAGTTCCTATACTACAAGTTAGTTTATTCAGTTTTGGTTTCACCCCAATGCTTTAGAAAAATGAACAAAAAAAAAATGGAAACACAGAAATATTGTTGCCTTTAAACAACTGTGCTTAATTACCTTCATTAAGAGAAATCCAGATCTGTCGTAGTGGTGTTTGGGGTTTGGAGCTGACAGAAGAGTAGTCTTCTGGCAGTTTCTCACCACATTTGTCATAAAAAAGCAATCTTAGAAAAAAACATTTTTTTACTTGCTGGGAGGGTGTCTACTTTGGTGTGGAGAAATTCTGGGAAGTTATTAACACTTGCTCAATGATTACTAACAGGTTTTCACAGCCTCTTCTGATCTTTGATACATGCTGGAACCAAATTCACTTTCAGGCTAACCTGCGTTTGATACAATTTTCCTTCTTAAACACCAGCGAAGTACAAGTCTGTGCAAAAACCCGTTGATTGGTAGGGAGTTTTGGGTTTCTTTGGGTGTTTCTGCATTTGGAGGGGAGGGTGTATGACTTTAAATAGGAAATGAGGTACTTGCCTGTTTTCACTTCCCTCTCATCCCTGGCAATGGAGCTACGCCGATCCCTGGATTGGATGCCAACCTCTGGGTTGTACGTATGTTTCCAGCTGTGGCAGCTGATCTGTTTGGTTGGTTACTGGCCAGTTACTGAGGCCTTTTATAGTGAGTGTTTTTTCCATTTTGCAAGATAGGAGAGAATTGGCCAGCTGTGAGCCTGACTCACGTCCCGGCACGTACGGCTGCCTGAATTTACTACCTGGTGTGCACTCATTGAAAGTGAATGAGGTGCACAGAGTACAGCGTCTCCCTCCCTTCTTCGTGCCGTGTTCCTCAGGTGACTTACTAAAGGCTTCCGCTTGCCGGCAGTCAGAGAGGACCATGGCTGTCTGCTGCCAGTGGTGAGGAGGCGTTGGCTGTCGTAGAGTTCACTTCGGTTTCCTTCCTTCGCTGCAGTCAGCGGTTGGACCTCTGTGCTAAAGAGATTCTTCTGGAGGGGAAGAAACAGTCTGGGTAACCTGCATAGGTTGGTGTTTTCTTTCAGGAGGTTACTCACTAGACACTGCCGCTTCTGCTGAGGCGTTTGCAGCCATCGGGGCCCCTTTTATAGGAGGCAACAGGGCTAAGGGAACTCAGAGAGAAAAACACATTTCCCCACCGGGGGCTGTGGTTGACTGAGCAGAGGGGGGACCGACGCCAGGAGTTCATGCTGGCAGAGCTCCCCTCGACCCTGCCTGCCCTAGAGAGACTGGGGGGTGGAAGCATGCTCCTCTCCTCGCTCTCCGCTCTGCAAGGATAGCAAAGCAGAAATGGCAGCATGTTGCAGGAAGGTGGGACCAGGCTCCCTCTGCCCAGGTTGGTAACCATGTCTTTGGTAGCAGAGCTCAAGTACTCCCTCCCTTTTTCCTCAAGGTGGAAGGCATAAGAGGACATACATATCTGCCAGATATTCAGCTTCCTGAAGTATTTTTGGCATAATCTCAGGGTTTATCTTTACTTCTGTTCTGAAGGAGAGTAATAAATAGAAATTCCCAAAGAATAATTAAGTACTTCTCATATTTTGAGGAATAGGAGGGACAGCCATGTGAATGATAGAGCAGAAAAGATGAATTTTAGAAACAGTTTCCTCCAAGCACACTTGCAGATAAGTCTTCCATGGAGGTCAAAGCCAGAAGATCAAATCAAAATTAGTTTTATTACTCAATATTCTAAGCAAGCAAACAAAACCGCATGAAAAACAATGTGAACAAAAGGCATCTTTCATAGAACTTTATATCAAATATTTTACGTATTGAATACTTGTGATGCTTGCAATTGCCCTAAATAGGTTAAAGGTTTACAGCCTCTGTGTGTCTCCTGGGAATGGCAGAAGAGAGGGGAAGCAATGTAAGATTGGCTGATACTGCTATACGCTTTCAGGTATCAACATACTAACTTTCCTGCTCATCCCCCCCGTACCAGCAAGAAATGCTGAAAAAGGGTGGCAGATTGCCTGTTGGATGCACCATTTATTTTCCTCCCACTGATCTATTTAGTAAGTCCAGAAGCCATTTTAGTTGATAAGGCTGGTCAACATTCAGTTTAATCCTACTGAAGAGCAGTATAATCATCTGGTTTTGGCTAACGCTACCTTGGCGTTGCTAACTGAGGAAGATCTTGCAGGCAAAGACTGGGTTATTCATTCATAGACATTCAAATCCAGGTAGACTTCGCCTCAGCCTTCTCCTCCTTTAAGCATCAAAATTTTTAAGCATGACCCTAAGCAGTCAGCTTTGTTCAGTAGAGTATGCCAAATGCTTTCCCAGGCAGTGCTACTGGGAGTGAAGTAGTGCTGCAAGAACTGTCTCTGAGCTTAAAAGCCACGTAGCCTTAGGGCTTGTCCCCGCTGGAGGGGGAGGAGGGAAGAAATGCCAATAAAGGGGGGATTCAGTCCTGCGATGTTTAGATTTTACTTTGGAGGCAGACACGTTGCCAAGATGATGTGCCAGCTGCCTTTATTGATTCGGTAGGAACTTTGCTGGTGATTCTGGCAGTCTCAGCTGCCATAAAAAGCCTTAACTCTTGCTGTGCCCTGTAGAGAGGAGTAACATTGGATGGCGTGTTGAAATTGTTTGTCGGGTACATCAGATTATTTCCCTCATACTCTTGCCTCATGGATTTTAACCAGTCTATTTCAAGGTTGAAGTCTATTAATACACTTTTGCTGTATGCCAGCAGGTCATAGGTTTGGTTAAACAAAATCAAGGATGTATGGGGATACGTAAAAATCTGTGTACAAAATTTCAAAGAATGCATCATCTCACCGCAGCCTTTCAACACTCTGCAGGAGGGCCAGGGGAACCACAGGCTGGGTTTAGGTGGAGCAATACCTGTTTTCCACCTTATTTCTAGTTGCGAAGAAGTAGAGCAGGCTTAGCAGGCCCTGTCCAAGATCTCTGTACAGTTGCTGGAAGAAAGCTTTTTCTTAAAACTTGGTGATATTTACCATTTTTTTAACTTTCTTTAATAATCTTTTTTTATTATCCTGATAGGTGGCAGCTTTTTACTTCTAAGAGCAGTCATTTCTACTGAATTTTACGTGTTGTCCCTGCCTCCTAGCAGAACTACAATAAAACTAATGTCAGCTTTAGGGAAGAAGGATATTAATTTGATTGGTCCCTGGATTTTTAAAATTTTTTTTAATTGGGATTCTGCACAGAGGTAGAGCATAAGTAAAAATAGAGTGATAAAGTTTCTGGATGGTCTTGGATTCAAGATAAACACACCGTACTAGGGAAATAAAAAATGGGCCTAGGTTTGAGGGTGAATGCTGTCAGGTACAAGGTGTGTCCTCTCAAAAAAAAAAAAAAAAAAAAAAAAAAAAAGAAATTGTGACCAAAGAAAATTGCTGATAGGGAGAACAAGAACTGAGTTGTTTTTCCAGCATAATGAGTCACTTGTCCAGAGTATTTTAAAATAAAATGAAGTGTAAAAAATACAGCCGTATTGACTGTGACCAGAGATCGTTTTTCTGGACTACCTTGCCTCTAGCTCTGGCCAATAACATATGCTTGGGAGAAAACATAGAAAAAATGGACTAAGTTTCATTCCTGGCAACCCATTGGACTGGGACAGTTGAGCCAAAAATTGCAACAGGATTGTTATGCTTCATAGATCTTTCTCTGTGCATGGTCTTGTCTTTTAAATGTATTTATACTCTTAGAATTAATGACGTTCTGAGCCAATGGATTTTTCCAGGCTGAAGAACATGGTGTTTGTTTAACCTCTCCTCCCGGATATTGTCATGTACCTCTGTTACTCTGTCGCTCTGTGATATGGGAATATTGGAGATACCTACATCAAGCTACTACATAAATATTTTGTATTCCTTCCTTATTATTCCTGTTATTCTATTTGCCCTTTAATCAACCCTGAGCTAAAATGCTTAGGGCTACCCATGTTAGATGCCAAGGGTTTTTTGGGGGGGTTTTGAGTGGTAATGCCAAGTTTAGGGTCTGTCGCCAAGTATACTCACTAAATGTAGTCTAACACTCTGTATACATTAGTTAGCACTTGCCATGAGCTCTCCTGCCAGCTTGTTGCCTGGGTAGTGTCCTTGAATTCTTCTGCAGCTTTTTACATTCATTTTATTTGCAACTACCAAGAACTTTTTTTATTGTTCAGTAATGACATGGAAGAAGAGGTGGACAACTTGGATCCCAGCACAGATACTTATGCTGCTACAGTCACAAATTCCTTTGAGTGTAAAAACTGTCTGTTCATTCCAGTTTCTTAAGCAGTTACTAATCTAAGAAATATTCCATCTTACCCTGCCGTACTTTAATGAAGAACTTTGCTTATAAAGAAACCAAGGAATCTCATCAAAGGCTTTGGAAATTCTGTTACTATATTAATAGACTCACTCATGTCCACATGAGTCTTTTAAAAGATGATACATGTTTCTGCGGCATGGCTTTCTTCCACAAAAGCTATGTCTATGGTTTCCTAATTTTGTCCTTTATTACTAGCTTCTATTCAGCACAAAAGTCAGACTTAGTGGCCTACAATTCTTGGGCTCCCCGGGGCCCTTTTATAAAAATTGGTGTCATGTTTTCCTCCTCCTGTTGTTTGATAACAAGGCTAGTGTCA